CATCCGCAGGCTGCTGTTTCTTTTATTAGTTCTCAACGCCGGCGTCTGGCCACCAAACATGAGGAGGTCTGCCTCCATCCCTGTTCACCCCCCACCCCCCGATACAGGTATGCACTCAGCCCTGCTGTAGCTCTAGGCAGTGCATGTTCTTGTTGTGGGTTGAGCAAATGCATTAGTCATTTCACATTCCAAATTCCTACCCCATGTCGTATTCACAACTCTGTCTCGCTTAATTTGCCCCCCCTCCATTGAATCAATTTTCCTCTTCTTCACCTCCATGGATGGATGCTTCATTCACTGTCAGTCAGGGCGTAGGGATTACAGCCAGCTCTGATGCTATCAAAGTTTCTCCTCTCCACATAAGGAAGTGTTGCAGGGTGTAGAAGTTTGACCCGAGGCTTGAGGGTTCCTGTTACAGGACGGCACAGCGCTTTGTGTCCTTGAGCAAAATGTCTACTAAACTTTCCACGCTTCAGTTACCATGTTCTTACGCAAATGAGTGATGTATAAACCTGAGGGCTATGCAAGTTACAATGGATAATATCTTTTTGCTAAGCAACAAAAATGTCATACATATCTTTAGAAAAAACAGTAATAACCTGGTTCAACAATCCTCCTCCGTCCAACTCGCGTAGTCACCTTTACCTGAACCAAAGTAGCAGACAAAGGAGATAGAGTTACCTTCAGGGTCATCCTACTTTATCTGTGTAATGCAGTGTCATGAGGTGACTGAGGGGAGGCTGGCTGCAGCCCCCACCCGCACACGAAAACCTCACCACAAACACACACTCACGTGTCACTCCCACTCAAGTGACCACAGGTGTGCAGAGAGCAGGTAAGCTCACACACATATGCAAAAACCTCCCTGCTCTCACTCACCTTTTCACCAAACTGCTCAACCCCCCCCCCGCGCTCAGAGCAGCCTCCCCTGAGGCTTGTGCGTGCGAATCCGGCTCTGGACTCAGCAGCCCCCGTCGCTGCTCCCCTTCAGCCCAGAGTGCTGAGGGAAATGAAGGCTTTTGGAGTTCGTTATGAAACAACAACAGCAGCAGCAGCAGGGGATCGGCCTCCCGGGGCCACAAACTATTCCTTCTCATCCCTCCATCCTTTATGTCCTTCAATATCTCCACCTCAGTCCACCCTGATGTCCACGGCACGTTCATCTGTCCCCCCACCGACCCCTTCCTTCTCAGAAGAATGCAGCTTTTTAATTCAAACCATTCTTCCTGAATAAAGTTAAATATTGATCTGCAATATTACAGTATGATCAGTTAATATGGTGAGTGAGTAGTGGAGAAATATGAACTGGTTTGACCTCAGAAAGACACGTATATGAGCGTTCATAACTTTGCCTTCTGAGGTGTGAAATAAGATTTTTGTAGCTACGTGCGAAATCCCACCAGTGTAATAGAACCCCATCATTAAAAAGAATAAGCTATTAATGTAATGACACATGCCATGTTAATTCTCTCAGATCTTTGGAGTTTTGAATGTAAATGCTGCTTTGGAAGGACTTTAGGACAGACCGGTCTAGTAATGTCTGCAGAATAATATTAGAAATGCAGCTGTGTGAAACAGTAAAGCCTAGGTGGTTTACTAAACATGAAATAAATCAACATTTTGCAGTTTTTACCTTTTAAAGTGCTCTTAAAGCCTCTGTAAGGAATGATGATGCTCCTGAGGACATGGTTCTGACAGAGTAGCTAATCAAATGAGGACACATTAAAACGGTGTGAACAAATAGGATCTCAAAGTTTCAGTTCATACAAATTCAATTCAATTCAATTCAAGTTCATTTATATAACGCTGAATCACGACAAGAGTCATCTCAAGGCACTTCACACAGTAAACATTCCAATACAGGTCAGTTCATTAAACCAATCAGAAAAAAGCTTCTTATATAATGAACTCAACAAATTGCATCAAGCAATCCTCGTACTAAGCAAGCATTTAGCGACAGTGGAGAGGAAAACTCCCTTTTAACAGGAAGAAGACTCACTGGGGATCGAGAAGACAGAGCAGACAAATGCTTACTTATAAATATTTACATTGTCATTCATAAAATGTTTTATTTATTTTGTTATTTATTTCAAATTTTATTGTTATTCTGGTATATTTGTAATGAATTTACAGCTCATGTCTACATATTTTGTAAATAACTGCATAAAGAGAAATTTATGGTCATTTAAAATTAATATTTGCATGAACCACTAAGAATTTTTTAAAATCTGTTTTGGGGTTTTAAGACAGCAGAAACACTGGCTGTAATTGGCTCTTTTCAGCCACTTACCCAGAACTAATCTCTGTTTCACTGAACTGAGGCTGTTCTAAGAGTTTGATACAACAAGTGGGATTTTAATAGTTCAGAACATTTACACAGAAACTCACTTAAAAAAAACTATTCTATTAATTCACTCCAGTATACAGCACCAGTTCACAATGAAACTGTTCTAAAAGTGACACGCTTACTCGAGTTCTAATCTGGTCCAGAATCAAATTTAGATTATAATTGTAATCAGATTATCAAAAAAAAGTAGTAAAGGAAAACTGTTTTAAAAACAGAACCAGCAGATTAAACTGATCAAGCTCAGGGCGATGAATGACAGTGGAGACAAACCTCCAGAAACCATACTAGGATCATTACCAGTGACTGCACGAACAAACCCTCCACGCCGTCACCCGTGGGTTTCTGAAGAGCTGAACTGAAGCCCAGTGGGTGGTTCCCACCACCGCCATCTTGGCTGTGCCATGCCTCTCGTCACTCCCAGAAAATACAAAAATGGAGTTCAGAGCAGGGATTTGAGGGTGGAGGCAGATGATTAACACTCAGCAAACTATGAGACAATGTAGCTACGAGCTAACTGAGCCAACCAATGCTAATGAAGGTTGGTGTTTGCTTTTAGTCAAAAAATGCCATTGAGCGACTCTGCTACCTTTTGGGCAAAAGCCATACTACGCAACTTTTTCATATTTTTAAACCACTTTCTTGAGCCAGTATGTGCTAAAACGACCCTTGACAGGGTTAATGAAGTGTCACTCAGACCCCCACCACCCTCTGTGGCGAGAAAACTGAATATGTCAGACTTGCGAGCCACTCTGTGGAAAAATTGAGCTGACACACCTGGAGCTACTGGTTCAGGCATGTTTTAGATCATGAACACAGCTCATTTGTTTCATTTAGTGATGAATCACTCCTGTAGACACTTGTGAAGGCTGGGGAGACACTTCAGCTGTTAGATTATGGCAGGGGTGGGCAACTCCAGTCCTTGAGGACTGGTATCAGGTGATTCGCCTGTTCAGCAGCCCATCAAGCTCTGCAGAATCTGGTTAATCACCTCTTAGGTGTGTTCTTGCTGTGTCGTTTCTCTAATTCCATGCTGTAGTTCTTTTTTTAAAACACAGAGCAGTTCTGTTTACCTGTTTTCCCGCTACGTTAGCCGCAAACGAAACGTAGCGGGAAAACAGGTAAACAGAACTGCTCTGTGTTTTAAAAAAAGAACTACAGCATGGTTAATCACCTGTTGATTGAAATCAGGCGTGTTGAAATAGGAAAAGCACAAACACATAGCGGCCCTCGAGGCTCAGGATAGCCCGCCCCTGCATTAAGGTGTTAAAAAGACAAACGCACAGCAAGGAGATAGGTTTTGCTTTTGGTTTAACCACAAATAATTAATAAAGGACACTAGGGGGAACTGTAAGCGAGCAAAACTGCCAAGTGTGCCTTTAGGTTGAGGCTGAGGCTTTCCCTGGAGCAAACAAGGGGTAAGCTGCTAGCCTGAGAGCTCATCTGCTACATGTCTACTAAAAGGCCACGCCCCTAATAATTCATGACTTTAATTAGGTCTAAATGGATGAATTACAAGTTACAACCCCCACCCCCCAGAGTTGACCTATTAAATTTTTTTGGGTACCAGGCTGTAAACATGTTTATTTCTGCTTTGAATTAGGCATTTTTAACATATGTGTGAATGGGAATTTGCTCTTTTCTGGAGCCAGACCCTAGTGGATGAGGGCGGAACAGCATTTTACATGTCTGCCTCTGCATTGGCTTCACTTTAGTCAGGCAGAGTTTGTCCCTTTATAATTAAGGGATGCTCCTCTGACTTAACTCAGTGGTCACAGAAGAATCCACCTCTATACATTTTACTGACTTGACGTTTTTGTGTTGTCTTTATTTATTTATTTTTATTCATTCATTTTTGCCACATTTATTTAATCATTTATTTATTTTTTGCCACATTTGATATAGAAATCTCACAATCCCCATGCTGGGTGTCTGAAATTAGTGACATCTACTTTTTTAAGTCTTCCCAAATCCACCATTTAAGTAAAAAGGAAAGGATTTCTATTACCAAAACAAACATTTTCACCACACACGGATAATTAGCTCTAATAACACTTCACTGTACATCCATAATGAAAATTTTTTAACATGTGAATTGTTTTTCTTTCTTCTTTTAATTCACTTCAATACTTCGGGGGACTTTTAATAAGCACTAATAATGTGTAATCACAGTAATTAGAGAACAACATCAAAGCACCACAGCCTGCTATAAATACCTCGCAGAATAGCCCTCTGTGTGCTGCACCGATGCATCAGCGTGGAAAGCAGTGATTCACAGATAATGGCTCTCATCGGGGTTTTGGGGCGGCCTGTTGGAACTTTCTAGCACTAATTTGGGGTCAAACTCTCAGCGAGGCTGCAGCGCTGTGAGTCAATGCCTTTGTCATCGTCGTCATTATGATTGTCATCGTGTGCTGGCCAGAGGCAGAACACCTGTAAGCCGGTCCTCCTGCCCACCCCTCGACTTCTACTGGGCGGCTGAGGGTGACGCAGTGAGACCACGAGGAGGAGGAGGAGGATGGAGGGCAGAGCTTCACCTGCAGGAAGTGGTTTAGCCCAGTGCATGCAGAGTTTCAGGCAGGTGTTTGAGGTTTTCTTTTGGCGTGTGGACTGCGTGTGCCCTGGGCGACTGAAGAAGACACAACAAACACATAAATCTTACAAATGTACGTCTGTTTATTTACCTTATTTGTTTTAAATAAAAGTGTGAAGCAACAAGACAAAAACATTAACTGGTTTATATACTTTACCGCGTTCATCAGACCTGTACAGACATCTAAAATATGACATTTCAAACAAACGCAGAAGCAGAGACATGTATCTACAGAGAAGATAACTCTGCATAGCTCATAAATCTGACTGAGATTTGCCAAAAGTTGAAGTGAGGTAGAAAATTATGATCCCACATTGTCAGACGCCTGGAGCTCCGTCGTGAGTTATATTCACACAGCTCAGAATCGCTTAGATAAAACACAAACACGGGTCCAGTGTGCACTTTTAACCTGCACACATGGACAAAGAGTTGGATTGAACTGGAGTAAATGTGGTCATTTTCTTTGATTAGCAATTAGGGAAAATAGGCAGCATGACTGAATCACTTGAAAGGGCTGGTGGAGCAAAGATGTGGCTAATTTAGACCCTGAAATAGTTCAGAAAGGCAATTTTACACTTGAAAGAATAGGAGAGTGTCAGCTTTTATAAATTAGAAAAAAAAAACAGAGTATGGTATGTTTATAAACCGAGCAGAATCTGAAAGAGGGCGTCCAGGGCTTCCCTCTCCCTCTGCACATGTGGAGATTTCCATAGACATTTCCATAAGAGCAACCGAAAAGCCCAGCTTCATTCTTCACACGATCACCCTGCTGATGCATGCAGCGATGTACGTACGCCAGTGGTGCTTCCAGTGATTCCAGCTAAACACATTTAAACACTAACAACACACCTTTTATATGTAGCAGGAGCAACGTAAGTGCTTTCACCAGCAAAGAACTTTGAACGTTCTCCACAGCAGTCAGAGAGACAGACAGGTAGGCTCCTCCTAACTCATCCACAGCCCTGCAGGCAACACTTGATCAGAACATTTAAAATGTAAAGCAGCAGTAGAAAATGGCACAATAAATAGTCAAATGTGGGAGGATGGATTGGGGTTGGTTTGGTTTTGATGTGCTGGTTGAATCCAGTCCCTCCTTCCCAGAAAAAAGTGGGATTTCAGTGCATCCGGCAAAAGAAAGGCCGTCAAAAACACCTACAGTCGGCTGCTGCACGTCGACTCTGCAACGATTAGCCAGTAAAATCTTAGGGTTACATCGGTATTTTCCTCCCAAACTAACATGCAAATCGTAAATGAGATCTGCGGACGCTCGCTCTGATGTGAGATCTTGCAGCGAACGTCTTGAAGCATCACACCCTGTCCGTTTTCGAGTCTAACGCTTTCTGTCTGGTTCACGCACTTTTGCAGGTGTACACCTCCTCCTCCCGGACGCACGTCTGACACTCCACGTGGCAGCACCAGCGCACCTGGCAGTGGCAGGAGAGGCTGGTGAGGCGCATGGCCGTGTTGTGGCCGCGTCCGCAGCACAGACTTTGACAGCTGGTGTCTTTGGTGCACGACCGGCCGCCCGTGCCCGGAGAGTAGCGCGATGGCCTGCAGAAGCTGGGGGAGTCCTCCAGGTAGACCAGGTCAGTGTTGCGGAGGCTCTGGCTGTGGCGGCGGTGGCCTGCCAGCTCCGTCTCTCCTGTGGCTGCGTTGGTGACGCTCAGCACTCTCATGGAGTTGTCGTAGCGGTACTTCAGCAGCCGGCCCGTGTCGTGGAAAGGCGACAGCTGCTTCCAGCAGGTTCGTACCGCACAAGACCCGGAGACGCCGTGACACTTGCAGGTCGTTTTCAGTCCGCTCTTCACTGCCTTTAAAAACATGGAGGGGAAGAAACAGAAATGTCAGACTTTTCAGGCTGATTCATTACCTCCTGTTATCTGTGAGGTCTATCTGAGACAGTTTCCTACAGGCTGGGTTGAGGCCTAAAGGTCTAAGGATACGCGCCCAACGCTCAGTCAAAAATGTGGACATAATGGATTGAGTGGGACTGCTCGGTTTGCCGTATTTCATTCACTTGGACAGCTCTTCCTATTATTCTTTCCTCCATGTGTTGAAACTGGCTCCGTCTCTTTCCCCAGGCGCCCGAGGCGAAGGCGACGAGCCGCTCAGACGAGGCTGGAGCTCTCCGCCCATGCTTCTGCTACATGCCCGCTCATGGAAAACATCCATAAGAATTTCTGTTCAAGAAGCCGTTTGCGACGCTCTCCTGGTTCTAGGTTAATAGTTCACCGAGCTTAACGGTCAGCGATGAGAGCGCAATCCGTCAGGCTGAGAGCTGCTGTCGTGGCGAAGGCCAGAGACAGGTCAAACCCCACAGAGCCAGAGGGCAGTGCTGGCTTGAAGAGTTCGGCTCAGTTCCTCCCTTTGCAGGTATGACCCCCCCCCCGGGGGGGGGGGGGGGGGGGGGGGGGGGGGGGGCTCCGGGGCACCATTACCACCGTTTGAGTGGACCTACACCACTTCATGCTCTTTTGTAAACTGCCCGTCTCCTTTCAGCCACACTGGTGTAAACCTGGACTGAGATGAGATAAGACCGAGCTCTTCCTGTTCCCCACCAGGCCCCGTCTAGGTGTGAGCTTACAGGACCTGCGCCCCCGAGGGCTTGCTTTCTCAGAGTGGTGGTTATGAACATTAGGTGGATTTATGAAGAGCTCGGAGATCCAGTTAGTAAAAAAAACAAGCTTGCTCGTATATTAAAAAAGGGGCCACGGTTATAATCGCTCTCTCCGACATGAGACCTTTAATTTTCTGTTGGCCCGCACAGCAAGCTTTATCATGCCTGAGAACACCTGGCTCCAGCGATCCCACAGCCATCTTGTCTCCTCGCTGCTCTGCCTCGCTCGCTGCACCTACGATACCCACCCAGACCAAACATGGCAGCAAATAAAAAGTGAGGGGGGGGGGGGGGGGGTTGTCTGACTGGAAACGAGGAAAACACACAGGTGGAGTGTAAGGTTTCGTGCCGCCTGATCTGGTTCTGCAGTACTTTGGCACACTTTGATCCGTTCAAATCTACTAACCCGAATCCCAACGTTGATGTTGTGGGCATCGATTTGAGCCCTCAGGTCCTTGCTGACCCTCTTCTGACCGAGGAACTTCTTGAGAAACTTGGTGCTATATTTCAGGTTGTCCCCGCAGACCCCCCACTGCCACGCTTCTCGATGCTGGATGCCGGGGGAGTCGTCGCACGTGCACCTCTCCATGCGGCCCGAGCTGCAGGCCTTGGCCAGAGCGTGGGTCAGAGCTGCAGAGGACACGGCCAGCAGGAAGGCGGTCTCTTTGAATGCTGAGAAAGAAGGAAAAGGATGTCAGAAGAGGATTATTAACTGAAGAATACAAAATGGACTTGTTTTGTGAATTTTTTTCACATCAACCAACAATCAAAAGCTTTTTTTACTCCAGTAAAAAAAAGCCATTAACTCAAATGGTTTACAAAAGCATCACCATGTTGTCATGGTTCACAACAACTGCAGCAGTCTCCCGAGCTTTCCTGTTTCACAGCTCCTCTTCTGACCTTTCCTTGTGGCCGTGCCCTGTTATTCACTCCACCCAGAGCCACCACCAGGGTATATTTTGACCCAATTAATTATTATTTTGACTAGGAAGGATTTTCCCAGATGAAAGTGGATGATCACACCACCCTTTTCCTCTGGGAACGGCCGTTTTCATCAGATAAAAATAACCACAGGGCTGAAGCCACACTCTCTTGGCGCTCTACTCCCTCATTACCTCTCTGCTGACCTGTCCACGTTCTCCCACACACTTACATCCATATGCATGAAACCGGGTAGATTTATGTGTGCGCTGCAGACCACATGTCATTTTGGGTCTGGTTCGATCAGCTGCATCAAGCAACTGGAAATTCAAGGATTTTTTAATTTGCATATTTGGTATTGATACAAATAAAAAGAGATGTGTAAGAGTGATGCCTTGGAATCTGCCTAAAGGTTTATTTGGTTATGATTGATACAAAATGCGTTTCTGTTATAAATCAGCTCCTGAAAATAAACCAAACGAATTAAAAATTAATCATTTAGATACAAGTTTTAAAACAATAAATGAATAAATGTGTTTAAGCTGGTTCGGGGATCCTCAGACAAACAGAGTCAGAACATCTTTATTTGTCCAGCTGTTAGACAAACATGATTTATTTTTTACTCACATCTGTAGATAGTTTATTAAGATAATGCCAGACAGAGAAGTTTTGCTCCAATCCTCCAGTTCTGACCTCCTTTTTTGGTGTAATATTTTTATTATAAGCGTCGGAACCAACCCCGGGACCTGCGCCTGCTCACTAACACGGGCTAAATGAACTCACCTCTTTTCAGGAGGCTCCCTCGGCCATCCAGGCTGCAGTTCCAGCGCTCGTTCCTGAACTGATAGCGACACTCCAGCAGGCTGAGGCGCACCGACTCCCGGAGCGTCTCGGCCAACCCGGGCTCCCTGCGGCACATCCTCTTCTGCCGCCGGGTCAAGCTCATCTGCTCGCACTGCTTCAGGTGGGCCTTCCCTGTTGGAGCCTCATTGGACAGCGGACCCGGTAAAAACACCAGGGGCTCCCGACCTGTCAGCCTGCATGAAGGAACCAGAAATAAGAAATGTGCCTTTTATATTGTCTTAGTGGGAATTAGTGAGTCCGTCCATAAAAAATCTAAATAGTCCATCATCCTGCCGAAGCGTTTAGGTGCGTAAAAAGGGCCTCGCAAGTCCACTGATGTGACTTCAAATCTTTTACTGTTATAATTTAAATCTAAATAATTAATGCAGACAGTTTTCTTTAATTACCAAGTTTTCCCAGCACACTAATACACTTTTGGGGACTTTTACGCACGAAGGAAATAAAAAAACGAGAAAATGATATTTCAATGCACGAAAATAACTAAGCCAACTGACAAATTTTATGTGACTGAATAAAAAGCTGATGTCTGACCCAAAATACGCTGCAGCGTGCGTGAGGAGGATGCAAAGTGCAACGATTCGCAATAGGCAGGCGGTCCTTGGGAGCCTGGAGCGCATTGTGCCGGGTTGGCGCTGTTCCTCATTGCGCTGATTCTTCAATGGAGAAAATCCGTGCCGTCCGGTCGGCGCTTCTCTTTAAGGGGCCCCACATGCACAGCACTGACTCTGCAGGCGATGCGCATGGCTCAGTGGTCCGCGGGGAGGCTGGGCCGGTTGGAAGCATCCTCCTCCGCACCCTCCCACTGCTACACCACACCAGGTGCACAACTTAATAGAAACACTAGAGGAAATCAGGATTGGTTTATGTGGTCATCATCTCTTATTCTCTGTTTTAAAAGTCAGAACAACGGAAATATATGTATGTGTTTAACATGACACAGCCTTCCCACTCAAATATATGTATATTTATTCTCAATAACAGAAACATAGTGAAAAGTGCACAAGGACTTGTTTAACTGTCCTACGACCTAATTTTAAAACGTGTTATAGGCCTGTTTGTTTATATCTGTATGGGTCATAATATATTACATCATTAAATTGCATCTAATCGCATAATTGATAAAAAGAACAACAGTCGGAGAGCGGGAGAGGTGAGAAAAGTGGATTTACATCATATTCCAGTCAGGATTGCAGCGCCATCTGCTGGACAACAGCAACACACAACAGCCAACGCGACAGAGATCATATAGAATAGAATAGAATAGAATAGAAAATAGAATAGAATAGAATAGAATAATCCCACTGTGGTGAAACTCATTTGTTACAGCAGCAAACACACTTGGAGAAAAGGAAGAAAAAAAAGATTACATCAGAGTCAGAATCGTTTTCTATTTCCAGGTGAGCGTCTCACATTAGTAGGACTTTGCTTCCGTGGAATGGTAAACACATACAAGTGAAAAATAAGATCCATCAAAAAAGATTATGAATAATAAACATAAAAACATAAGCTGTCCGTTGCAGATCTATTAAAATGGAGGTTAGCCTGATCTGATCAGCCTTCAAGTGTGTGTGTGTGTGTGTGTGTGTGTGTGTGTGTGTGTGTGTGTGTGTGTGTGTGTGCGTGCGTGCGTGTGTGTGTGTGTCATGGTGTGTGTGTGTGTGTGTGTGTGTGTGTGTGCTTGAATAACATTAAAAATAGCACAAGTTTTCAGTTTTAATATTACGGGTCAAAATAGCCTCTTTGTGGTATGCTCGCTCTTTTTGTAAAATGCGGAGTAAACGACGGGAACTAGCTTTGAGCACAAATTGCTCCAACAACACATCATCTTTCCCACACAGCAGGAGAGATGTGAACCAAATGATCACCGCTTTCCTGCTTAACGGTCACAGTGGAGTCTTTGACAGCTCAAAGCTTTGCAAACCCTCAGAGTCAGATTTCTCATCTGTATTTCCTTTGTTCTGTGGGGCGGACACAGGTGGATGCGGAGGGTGAATTGAATTTAATAAACTAACTGTCGCTTATTTTCACGCTATTTGACTACAAACCACATGGTGGCGCAGATCAGAGGTTTCAATGTTTGCAGCTACATTGAAATACAAAGAAGAAGAGGAAAAACTGAAAACGATAACGATGATGACGAAGAAGGAGAGGCCGCCGGTGTTTTGCTGAAAAAATGTTCCATGCCGTGGAAAGCCCATTTGTACGTTATGAAAGATATGATTTGTCATAAGTGTAATTCTCAGTTATCACTTCTAACCTATGATGCATTTTACGTTCTAAAAATATTTGAACTGTTTAACTTTTTTAGTTTTAAAACGTTCAATAATCAATTCATTCTCTCGTTTGCAAGTGTCAGGGTTTATGCATCTAATCCAGATTTAAAGCAGATAGTATGATGTTATAAATACTCACCTGCATTTTGAATGTCCAAGGGTTAGATATTCCAGTGCAGAACCTATAATTTAGATTCACAAATCCAAGTTTAAACCAGCCAGGCACGCATCTCCACCACAGCTGAATTATACCAAATAAACAGACTTTCTGCTAGAACAAGGTGGTTCAAAGCAAGAGTGTTATCAGAAAAGTGGGTGTGCACAACGGAGAGGTGGTATTAACGAGTTAGTTCACTAAAAGTATTAAATGATCTAAAACACCTAACAGGCTTGTGTAAGGAAATATAAGACATAGAGGTGGTGAAGTTTTATGAGGAAGTTATAGTAGCAGGAACTCAGCCTGTTAGCAAAAAGAGAATGGATTATATTTTTTTGTTTGTTGTGTTCGTTCCTTTCGTCCAGCGCTCTGGACCAGCAGGTGGCGCTAACGCAGTCAAGCTAGCTGCTATCGGAAGCTTTAAAAGTGACAGAAGAAGAAGGACACACACACACACACACACACACACACACACACACACACACACACACACACACACACACACACACACACACACACACACACACACACACACACACACACACACACACACTCTCTCTCCTCTCTCTCTCTCTCTCTCTCTCTCTCTCTCTCTCTCTCTCTCTCTCTCTCTCTCTCTCTCTCTCTCTCTCTCTCTCTCTCTCTCTCTCTCTCTCTTTTTTACGGAAGGGGTACTTTTTTCGACACATCACCATCAAGCGCCATTTTGCTGTTGAACAAAACCAGCGAAGGCGGATCGAGGACTAGCATCAAAGGTATAACTTCTATTTAGGAACATTAAATATCATTCTCAAGCCTTCATTTAACGTTTAATTTAGAGCAAATTACGAAGTATTCGCCGACATTCCCACGAATATCGTTGCTTTTGATGAGTTTCATAGGTTTGAAAGCCTGGTTTAAAACTTCGCTAACAGTTTCCGTAACTTCAGCAAACACCCGGGCGTCATTCCTCGTGTTTTACTCGAAACCAGCATTTAACTGGTCTCAGTGTGTGTTTAAGTAGCTGTTCTCATTTTGAACGTGGAGCTTTGTGAATTGAATTCCAACGTAAATCTGCCGGTTGTGATTCATTGAAGCTAGCAGGCTAACGCGTCCGCGAGCTGTCACAGCCTCTCATTCATTGTCTCTGCCTACACGTTCATTCTTAACATAAAGGGTGTTTCGTCTTTTCTAGGACTAGCTTTACGTGATATTTAGTATTTAAGGTAACTCACAGCAAAGTAATTGTTAGATGAGACTGATTATTATGAAAGCTCAGCATTTCTCTACGTGGGTGTCGGTCAGCTGACGGCGCTTAACGTATGAATGAGTGAAGGCAATGTGACTGATTTATTATCGATGCACGCAGTTTGTGAGCCTTGTCAAATAATCTGGTACATTTACAAGAACTGTGAGGCTTCAGCGATCAGAAATGCTGGTCCAGTTCAAGTAAAACGGGACAGAGACCCAAAGCATCGATGTACCTGAAGTCAAAGCTCGTCCAGTGCTTAGCTTTTTTTTTTTTTTTTTTTTTTTTTTTTTTTTTTTTTTCCCAAATTTTCCTAAAGTATATAACCTTGGCTTAAATGTAACACAAACAGCACCATTAAATGTAATAATTAAGATTGGGCCACAGCTTTTCATTTATTGATGGTAACATTTGTTCAGTTCATTGTGATTACTTTGGTAATTCTTCAGACAGGATTGTGTAGCTCTGTTTTTTTCAACAGGGTCCATCTGGTGTTTGAAATCCTTGAAAAATCTTTCAATTTTAAGCTTTTAAAAGTGCTTGGATTAGAATTAAGGGCTTGGAACGGCTAGAAAACTCAACTAAAGCAGGATAACTTTTAATTAACATTCTCTTTTAGGGCTTTACTGTCCACATGTGTAAATCATCACTGGTTTGAAGTGCTTGGAAATCTTCAAAACTCACCTTTGAAATGCTCAAAGTGCTTGAATTTGATTGAGCTCCCAAACCTTGTTTTAGTTTGATTTCAATCTTTAAACTTCGACTTTGCAATTTAATGGTCACGTTGATTACCAGGAATAAGTATCTGTGTACGTCGTTGTTTATTATTATTGTTATTATCAACTCATATTCACAAACAGAAAACACTTTTTAGACTTTAGCTTTGCACAACACCTTTTTCCTGATGTTTTAAATGTATATAAAACGACAAACATCGATTTCATCAAATTAAAGAGGGAATTCTCACTTCTTGTTACCTTCTGTGATTATTAAACAGACGACTGATCCATGGATGTCTGTTCTGTTTCATCCATTGAAGTCTGTAGCTTGTATAACCTGCATCATTAAAACCAAACTTTTCAGCTTCGTTGTCAGCAGCTGAACTCGTGTGAAATTTAAACATCCTCCAGAGAGCTACAGTCGATACCAGCTTGCCATTATTTCTGTAACACACCTCAGGGTGCTCCCAGCTTTATTAAAGTGTTTTGTTTTACTTTGTAATGGATCAGCCAGGCCCTTTAGCCTCGTATTACATAACTGGTTTTACATCATAGGATTGTGGTTGACAGCCGTCATCGGGTTTGGAAGCCCTCACCTGCTCACGCTAACCAAACAACCATGATGCAGTGTGTGCTTTCAGGAAGCTCAGCGGTGTTGTGAAAGCATACGTTTCCCACCGGTGTTGGTCTGTTGTGTTACCAGGATGTAACGTCCAAACAGGATTTTTTTCCCCTATGTTTTATTTTCTGTCTAGCAACATTTTAAACTGGATGTGTAGTTGGTGTTTGAACGCAGCTTCTTATCTGAGTTTATGTTTCTGACACTTAGCTTCAGCTGTTGGTCATGACAACACATCGTAGCAACAGACCTGTTGTTTTTATGCTTTTGGTGCAGCATGCGTGAGTTTTCTGGCTGTTTGCAAAATCAAATGTTTCAGTTTTTTCCCACAAGTCAGTTGGACCAAAGTTGCGCGTATTTCAATAATTCCCATCTTGATACTGGTCGTCTAAGGGCTCGGTTCCCCTCCCAGCGCGTCTGCTCTGAGGATGTTTTGCAGTCGGCAAACGAAATGTTAGCAAGATAAAGAGAAACCTTTCCTGTGTTTAAAAACAAAAAACAAAAATGGAATTAGAAACCGGACACAGTAAGAATACACCAAAGATGGTCAGGGCAAGGTTCCTTGGCATTGAGAAACACCCAGTGTGTGTGTGTGTGTGTGTGTGTGTGTGTGTGTGTGTGTGTGTGTGTGTGTGTGTGTGTGTGTGTGTGTGTGTGTGTGTGTGTGTGTGTGTGTGTACCTTCTCAGTAGATTTGACTGATTTGGTCCAAGAACATTGGAACATTTGTGAAACAAATTCTTCATCCTTGATAAATAAATATGCTTAGATGTTTTGTTGTTTTGCAGCAGGCTGTAATTTATGAAATGTTTTACAAAACCCATTTGTTTACTAAATGTTTATTTTACGATGCCTTGTTTCTGTGAAAGCTGCTCTAGATAAACAACCTTTGGGTTTTCTGTAGCATGAATGAAAAAGGCTCATTCCCGTGTTGTAGACGGGAGAATTGAGCTTCATTTGTTCATTGTTCTTTATCTGTGTCGCATTCTTCACTTTCACAATAACCTGGAAAAACAAGCTGATGCATGCTGGTGCCTTTTTGCACACAGAGTATGAAGACTTTCCCAAGGAAAAAGCAACACAACTGGTGTTAAATGGTGGCTGTATGATTGATCACTGGGCAAGAAATAAATGTGTGATATATATATATATATATATATATATATATATATATATTTAGGTGATATGGCAAGTCTTACATTAATATACTCATGAAACTTCAAACATTTTATCAATCCAAGTAAAAAATGTTTTGTTTTTGTGTCAGAAGGAAATAATGAGACATAATAGTTATGTCACCTTGATGTGGAAGGAACATGTATGCTCCTTTTTTTTTTTTGTCTTTTTCTCATGATTTTCAGGAAGTTTGATTTTATAAAATGCTGATTTGTTAATCTTTCAGTGTTTAAGCTGTTCATGCAGCCAAAACAAAGTTTCTGTGTTACATATTATTTATTTTTACGTTTTTTAAATTCAGCATGTCAAGTTTCTGGCTTTAGGTTGTATCGAATAGTTTTTATTTTGTCTGAATAGGTATTTTGAACCCATGTATGATCTGAGTACAACCCAGTACTGGATGTTTAGTCCGGTAAAGTGCTGCTTTCTGCTTCATTTGATTAGTTTTCCAAATGAAACCCAACACAGGTGATGCGTGGTGGTATGCATGTTGTTAAAACCAATGCTGCAGACCCGTATGACACAATAGGCCCCAGCCTTACTGAGTTAAAGGTTTAACATGGCACCACGGACACTTGAAAGGCTTTTTGTTGTTTGGTGATTGTAGAAGTAACAGGTGTGCAGGTTTTACACCTCCAGCCTTTGGGTGGAGTCTGTCGGTTAACGCGGAGGAGTGAACCAGATGAAACTCTTTCATGAGTGGGTGCTGCTGACTTGCGGTGGAGTTTTGAGATAAAAACAAAGATTTTATGTTTCTACAGAACGATGTTTCCTGCTCAAAGAGTGAATGCTGCTTCATCTGAATGTGTGTTTATTTTGCAGCTAAATGCTTTAAGGGAAATAGTTTCTGCTGCAAGTAGCAGAAACGACAGAACTGCTGACCAAACCAATACTGGAAATGACCTCAGGCAGATTTCTTTATTCTGTTTAGTAATTGAAACATAAATTGGGCAAGGTGGTATTTGGTGTTGAGTTTAAAGTCTTTAGTTGAGCCCCTCTAGTCAATAACCTAACTACTCTGTGTTTATCCCTACAGACACACCAAGATGGGGAACTTTGCAAGTCTCTTTAAAGGACTGTTTGGCAAGAAAGAGATGAGGATTCTGATGGTCGGACTAGATGCTGCTGGAAAGACCACCATTCTGTACAAGCTCAAACTGGGAGAGATCGTTACCACCATCCCTACCATTGGTGAACTGCTTTATTAGCAGGGTTCAAAGATGATCACCAGCTGATATTAGCTACTTTGAATATGCATAATGTCCCTTTCTCTCTCTCTTTTTGTAGGTTTTAATGTTGAGACTGTAGAGTTCAAGAATATCAGTTTCACGGTGTGGGATGTGGGCGGTCAGGACAAGATCCGGCCACTCTGGAGGCATTATTTCCAAAACACACAAGGTAACATATCTGGTCCTTCCACTCGGTTGTTATGAAAATGGCCTCATCCTCCTCTACATCCCATTAAGCGCCTGTTCTCTGTCTCCAGGTCTTATCTTTGTAGTGGACAGTAACGACAGAGAGCGAATCGGGGAAGCCAAGGAGGAGCTGATGCGAATGTTGGCTGAGGATGAGCTGAGGGATGCTGTGCTGCTTGTGTTCGCTAACAAACAGGTACGTTTGTGTTGGCGTTCATAAAAGCACCTGGGCTTGCTGCTCGATAAGTGTAGACTTGTTTACATGGAGAACACCCAGGTCAGTATTTCAGAGGGCTGGAACACAAATGACATCACTCACACTGCAATGGTCAGTTTTTTTGAATGCAGGGTCATTGGTGTAGGAAGTCTCACCTGGGAAGGTTTTTAAGAATCGTGTCCTTTAGTGCAAGGTAGGGATGCTGATCCAATCACGTGATGGGAAATCTGGTCCAATCACGTGATTTTCACCGGATTGGAGTCAGGTGGGAAAGATCGGATTTAACCATATATATATATATATATATATATATATATATATATATATATATATATATATATATATATATATATAACCCGAAACCTGCTCAGTTTGCTGCTACTGTTCGGATAAGCCAGCCGGCACTAAAAGATTTGTTAAACAGTTTGTCTACAACAGCCAAAATGGCAAGATCGAAGTTTGTTAATCAATCAGTCAAACTTTATTTATAAAACGCTTTTCATACAAAAAAATGTAACTCGAAGTGCTTTACAGATTAAAAAGATCCCACAAATGTCTTTGACAATTAACCCCCTCAACCCAGTGATCCATATACCCACATGCACACAAAGCACACTGGAGCACCTAAGTAAACACTGGGCTGAGCTCGGATATGTAAGGAAACACAAGGAATAATGCTGTAAATCCTCTAATACAGGCCTGGGCCTTTATTTACCCAAGCACATCCTAGTAAGTATTCTATTTGGTGAGAGATAAACTTTATTGTATTTATCCTAGTGAATTTATAATTAAACAGGTAAACTAGTAGTAGCGCATTCAATGTCAAAGAAAGTCAAATGTTATCAGGAGAGGGAGAATGTTTAAATGGTGAGCAGCAGTGTTTTTAGCAGATTGTAGATGAAAGTAGTCGAGTGTGGAAAGTGGTCAGTGTGTCCTCCAGCAGTCTAAGCCTATAGCAGCATAACTACAGCGATAACTCTGGATAACCTAGCCTTTTAGATGGAGGCATGTTGGAGGCTGGGCAAGGGCAATCTGTCTTTGATCTGATGTTATAATTTCCTCTCTAATGTATTATTCATGTTGTCTCTGCCCTGCCAGGACTTGCCGAATGCCATGAATGCAGCCGAGATCACGGACAAGCTTGCCCTGCACTCCCTCCGCCATCGTAACTGGTATATCCAGGCCACATGTGCTACTAGTGGAGACGGGCTCTATGAGGGTCTGGACTGGCTTTCAAGCCAGCTAAAGCACGCTAAATGATCCACCCCCCATCTGTCGGCCATGTCTGCAGTGTTTTGGGGGCAGCACTGGCCTCGGTCCCACCCTCTCCTCGCCTTTTCCGTTTCTTCTGAGTAATTCTGGACCCGTGGCCAGTGCTGCTCAGCATCCATGTACTGTATGTGTGTGTTTGGAGAAGGAACGTTGAGTGTGTGTGAGAGTTGTAATGTGTGTGTGTTGAGCTAAGTGGGAGCAGCCCTGCTGTGCCTTGAACACGGTTAGCTCTCAGTCAACCCATTCCTCCGGTGTCGGCACGTCCTACGGTGCTGGTTTCCACAAGGCTAAAAGCAAAGAACGGTCCTGAGTGCTCTGTGTCTTCAAAACGAATGTTTCTAAACAAACCAAATGGCAACAAATCAGTTTTTACAGTTTCTAGGTACATTAAAACCTTATGGTATGGCTCCTTTCACCCTCCAAAGCTCTAACATCCGGTCAGTGTTTAATTATTAGTGTTGCGTTCTTGTGTGATCAAACGATGCATACAACTTAAAATGTTTAGTCATGAAGCTGCAGGTGTTTGATCAAAATAATTCATATTTGGCACTTATGCATGTGGCTAAGTTCCACATGTTAATGGTTTTGATCCAGATCAGTCGTGGCTGAACGTTTTTGCTTTATTATTCCTAAATAGATTTGTGTTTTTCCCAAATGAAAAAGGTCACGAGATCCAGTCTGGATCTGGTAAAGGCAATAAATGTAGTTGTGCATGTTTACATATTTGGAGGAGTGTAACTATTGCATGGTGTGTTTGTATCGCTGAAGCCTGACCGGGCTTCAGATACACTCGGTTCATTGTTACAACCAGTTGCTCCCACTCTCGCTCTTTATTTCCTTTGGGGGGGGGGGGTTGTTACCAGGTGTGTTGTCCTTTTATGGATGAAACACTCTTGGGACCAAATGATTGACTTCAGAAAGGCGTTGTTGTGTTGAGTTTTAGATTTGTCTGCAGAAAAGGCAGCAGCCAGCTTTTGTGTTCATGCTTATGTCCCCGACGCCGTTGCTGTGATCGATGGCGTGTTTTCAATCTGAGGTGTTTAAAACAGCCTTATAAATGCATATGTAGAGCTCCAGGCTTTGTGCTTCAGGTGGGGGTGCGTCCCCTGTTTGGTATTTACACGACATTATACCATTTGTACAAACACATCACAACATGTGCATGTGTGAAGGCAGCTGTTTTATCCGTCAGCTGTTGCAGTAAACACACACACACACACACACACACACACACACACACACACCCCCGACTCTCTCTGTTTCTCTACACCAGCAGATCTAAGAATGTTGCTCCAGGGTAACCAGAATAGTTTTCCTCACACCTGTTTCCCAGAACCAGAACCCAGTCTACAACAGTTCCCGCTGAGTGAGGATGGCTGCACACTTAGTTTTCACTGACCTCTACAGGGAGCTGCAAGTTCCCAATTTTGTTTTCTATAACTGGACATTTTTCTTTGAAAGTTGTAATGGAATGACTAATCTTTGACCTTGTTATTTTATTCATTGAATTAATAAAGTATTGATCAATTAAAAGAAACAAGTCTGTTAGAAGTGTTTTAACGTGACATTTTCTATCATCCTTTGGCCAGATGTGAAGCTTTAATTTGCCAGATCACTTGTGTACAGATGACACGTGTGCATATGTATTTCTTTCTTTTCTTTTAATGCATTTTAAAACTCATCATGTAACCTCTGATAAATGCACTATAATAAAAAGAATATCTATTGTATGCTACTGGACTAATTGATTTTGATAGGATTTAGCAGAGTTTTACTCTTAATGATGAATTCAACACTTAACTTTTTCATCCACGAGCCATATAAACCTTTATATTGATATCTAATAAAGGGATTAATACCTAAAGGTGCTGTTTAACATGTAGAGCTGAGTTGCACTTCTTCAGTGACGCCACTGGAGGGCAGTAAAGATATTAACATAAAAATTTTACGTGTGAATTGTACCTTTAAAAGCTGTTGCAGGACAGGTTTACTATATATACTAAATATATTTAAATGGTTACCAGATCTGCCCATTACACTTTCATTTTCTGTATCATTTTAAACTTTGGTGGCAAATTCTTCATAGAGGTGTTGACCTGGCCTTGCTAGACCGGCAAGGACCCATACTCGTAAGCATCCTACCCGTGGATTCAGACACCCACAGTTGTGTTTCTGACGTCCCTTACTTGAAGCAGAGTTTTCAGCCGCATTCCAAAAAGCATGTGATAAGAGAGCTGAAAGACTAGTAGCATAAGCAGCTGGTGTACCTGGCATGACAGTGGTCACCGCGGGTCCACAGTCCAACAGAACATTCACAGGCAAAAGGGGCTCTCTGCCATGCACCACAAAGAAAGGAGAAAAAACAGTGCTGGAATGAACACTGGAGTTATAAGCCATTTCAAACTGTGACAGATACTGGTCCCATTCACTTCCTTCCTGTGCAATGAATTTAGAAAGCTGGTCTTTCAAAGTTCGGTTTAGTCTCTCAACCATGCCATCCGACTGGGCATGGTATGGTGACATCCGAGTTTTCGTGATACCAAGTCTGGTGCAAAGATGTTTGATGAGGCCAGATTCAAACTGACGGCCTTGATCAATAAGAATGGATTCAGGGATTCCATGTTGTCTGATATAGTCCTCAAAGATACTGTAGCGGGCCAGGGCTGTTCGGGGTTTGTTCTGTTATTACAGTTATGTGCTTGTTGTCATGTTGTGGTGACGGGTGACGCACTCTCTCGGCGACTGCTTTTCCGATGAGAGCACGCCCTTTTTTTTGTTGTTGCTGTGGCCGTGCTGAGGAGTGTAAGATTAAACGGGTGCTCCCAAAGAAACCTCTGTCTCTTCCGTGACTGAGCTCACCACATTGGTGTCAGAAGTGGGATACTCACCCTTGCCATAATGGAGAGAGACATTCGGAGGCTGGAGCAAGCTATCAAGGAGAACATTACCCGCCTGGAAAGCTGGCGATTGAAGAGAGAGGATGTGAGCGGCCATGTAAGCTCCCCGATGGCGTGAGCGCACCGAGGCGGCGTCCCGCCGCGACCGATGCTAGGGCAATGCTTGATGGGCTGCCTCCATCGGCCGACACACGGGCCCCCGACAGCGAGCAGTGATGCCTGCAACGCCAGCTAAAGTACCGAAGTATAACGGGCTAACCCCGCTAGAGCCCTACCTCTCACAAGTACGGCTAGCCGCGAGACATAATGGCTGGAGCGACGGTGAGGCTGCTACATACCTAGCGCTAGCGTTGGAAGGAGATGCACTGCAGGTACTCCTCGACCTAGCCGCGTCAGAGCAGCATGAGCTCCTGGCCCTCACCACAGCACTCGAGAGGCGATTTGGGCAGCGTCACTCCACTGATCAGAGCAGGGAGCAGCTGACCAACCGGAGCCGTAGGCCGGGGGAGAGCCTGGGCACCTTTGCAGCAGATGTGTTGCTGTATGCTCGTCGTGGCTTCCCAGAGTTCCCAGCAGCAGCCCGGGAGGAGCTTAGCCTGCATGCTTTCCTGCGAGGACTTTTCCCAGCGCGACTGCGCCAACACGTCCGCCTGGCCATGCCTCAGACTCTCAGTGAGGCACTCCTTCAGGCTGAAAGGGCCGAGCTGGTGCTCGCCTCGCCACCCCACCAGCAGGTGCCGCCCCCCAAGCTACCCTCAAATCAGAGCCGCAGACTGCGACGGGGAGGGGGCGGTCGCAGAGGTATGTCAGCTGTGGCCCTCGGTGCCTCGGAGGCGTCCTCGTCGTCCCACTGACCGCTGTTACCGGTGCGATGAGCCTGGCCACGTGGCGCGTGACTGCCCGGCACCTGCCCCGACGGTCAGAACTACGGAGCCTTCGGGAAACGGGGTGGGAGTGGTGTAGTGAGGGGACCACCGCCCCAGCTTTCTGTCCCCCTCCAAGGACGATGCACGGTGGTGGGCCGGGTTGGGCACCTCAAGGGACTCTACCTGAGCTGCTGCATTGAGGGCCAGCCATGCCGGACCCTGGTGGACATGGGGTCTACCATCTCCCTACGACCTGGCGTGCTCCCTGGAACGTCCGTGTTGTTGGTGAAGGGTTGGACGCCTACCGACAACCAGCTGATGACAGTGACGGGAGAGAGAACTGATATGCGGGGGAAGAAACCGTTGCAGATCCGAGTGAGGGAACTGGAGCCGATTCACGACTTCTGGCTGGCTGACCAGTGCATCATCGGCCTTGATCTGCTGACCCGCTGGGGGGCCTGCGTCGACACCACAAAGCGGGCTATCACTCTTGGCACAGAGACTCTCGCCCTCCAGTGCGGGCAAAAGCAGGGAGCGGAGGGGACCAGAGACAGGCGTCAGGCAGCTGCCGCTCAGCAGATTTCGGGTGCCAGTGGTTCCGGGTCATCTCTACTCACCTCAAGCCCGGCCCCTCACCCCAACAAATCTCCCTCGACCGAGACAACCGAGGCTGTTGGTGACCTGTGGCAGCACAGCAGCTTAGGTCTCAACGGTGATCAGCGCCAGCGGTTGACGTGCCTTCTGGATGAGAATGTGGACATCTTTGCCGCCAGTGACAAAGACTGCAGGTAGACAGGGCTGGTCCAGCACACTATCGACACCGGCTCTGCCCAACCCATCCGTCTACGCCCACACCGGCTGCCCCTCTCAAAACGGCAGGTGGCGGAGGAAAAGATCTGTGAGATGGCTGCGGCTGGGGTGATCGAGCCGTCCAACAGCCCATGGGCGGCACCCGTGGTCCTGGTGGGGAAGAAGGATGGCAGCCCGAGGTTCTGCGTGGACTTTCGCCGTCTCAACGCATTCACCAAGAAGGACTCGTACCCGCTTCCACGGATCGACGAGGCCCTAGATTACGTCTGCGGCTCCAGCTGGTTCAGCTCTCTTGACCTATGCAGTGGTTACTGGCAGGTGGAGCTAGCTCCTGAAGCAAGGTCTAAGACTGCATTCACCATTGGACAGGGGCTGTGGCAGTTCAGGGTCATGCCCTTTGGGCTTTTCAATGCGCCAGCGACGTTTGAGAGGCTGATGGAGAGGGTGCTCGTGAACGTCCCTCATAGCCACTGTGTTGTGTACCTGGATGACCTGTTGGTACACGGTGGCGACTTCAACAGTGCACTGTCCCACCTGAGCGAGGTCATCGTGCCATCCGTCGAGCCGGGCTGCGGCTCAACCCTGCGAAGTGCCGGCTGTTGACGAAAGAGACTACATTCTTAGGCCATGTGATCAGCGCTCAGGGTATCGCCACCGATCCCGCTAAGGTGGCGGCAGTCCGGAATTGGCCGACCCCCTCGGACGTCAAAGAACTGCGGAGCTTCCTGGGCCTAGCCTCCTACTACCGTCGGTTCATTAAGGGGTTCGCGACGACAGCCAGCCCCCTCCACCGCTTAACCGACAAGGGCCAGCCGTTTGGCTGGAGTGATGCCTGCACTGCGGCATTCGTACAGCTGAAGGAGGCCCTCACCAGAGCCCTAGTCCTGGCCTACCCTGACACCCGGCAACCCTTCATTGTGGACACTGACGCTAGCAATGTAGGAGTGGGGGCGGTCCTTTCTCAGCAGGACGATGCTGGAGAACGAGTGGTGGCATACTTCAGCCGAGCACTGGGGCGAGCCGAGAGGAACTACTGTGTGACCCGGCGGGAGCTGCTGACCGTGGTGCTAGCAGTGCGGCACTTCCAGCCATATCTGCACGGCTGCCTGTTCCTCCTGCGCACAGACCATGCATCTCTGACTTGGCTCCTGAACTTCAAACACCCAGAGGGTCAGGTGGCCCGCTGGCTGGAGGTCCTTCAGGGTTACGACTTTGAGATCCAGCATCGGGCAGGTCGACAGCATGGCAACGCTGATGCCCTTTCCAGAAGGCCCTGCATGGCCGTCGAGTGCCGCTACTGAGTGGGTCCAGGAGGCGCAGGGGGTGGTTGCTGCTCAGGCCACAGCCAGCGGAGGGGGGTGGCTCCCATTGGCCCCGCAGCAGCTGAAGCGGGAGCAGGAGGCTGATGCGATGCTGGTGCAGGTGGGGGCCTGGCTGGAGGTGGCGCAATGCCCCGACTGGACGGGGGTGACGGGACAGGAGCCCGAAGTGAAGGCCTACTACTCCCAGTACAACAACCTGGAGACCCACAACGGCCTCCTGTACCGGCGATGTCGGGCCCCGGGCAGGGCAGAGATCTCCTGCAGCTGTTGGTGCCTCGGTCGCTGCGGTCGCAGGTGCTCGAGCTTGTCCACGGCTCGGTGGGGGCCGGCCACTATGGGAATGCCAAAACTCTCCGCCGTCTCAGAGGACGGTTCTACTGGCCTGGCTGTCGACGGGATGTGGAGCTTCATGTGCACTGTTGTGACACCTGCATGGCACAGAAAGGCCCAATTCAACGCTCCACTGCCCCTCTTCAACAGTACCTGGTGGGGGCCCCGATGGAGAGAGTGTGAGTGGATGTCCTAGGGCCTTTCCCTGTTACGGAGTCAGGGAACCGGTACCTATTAGTGGCCATTATTTCACAAAGTTGCCGGAGGCCTACGCTGTGCCGGACCAGAGTGCGTCGACAACGGCGGAGAAGCTGGTGGAGGAGATGTTCACCCGGTTTGGAAGGAAGTCAAGATATGGTAAGGCAGATTAAAAATGGTTTACAGCAGACTTCGCGTCTCCTGTGATGGATAATCTGTAGATAGAAGTACAGCCAGGTGAGCTTGAGGTCAGCTTGACCCAGCTGAGGAAGTGTGACTTTTGGGTCACAAATGAGACCATTACATA